GCAAGAATGGTCGAGAGAGTCCTTGAGTTATTGCTTAGGGACCTTTACAACGATGGCTGTATCTATGTTGCCTTAACTCTTCGTAACCCACTGGCAAAAATTGCCACTTTTCGCGTCTGGTAGCACGAATTTGGCTCCACTATATTCGTTTGACTAAGCGTTACTATTAGCGCCTCGGGGTCTAGTACTACTTCATGATTGATTTATACTTTGTTCTTCAAGTCGATGTCTTCCTGAACCTAGACGGGGGTTCCCGTAGGAGAGAGTTGTGGTTATACAAAGCTAGTTGGCATGTCTGCGTTTTGTGGGTTTAGTCCTATCGTACAGGGAAACATTCTATATCCGCTTCATGACCTTGGGTATTTAAGTTGTTTTCCACCCAGCTTGACCAAACGCCCTGATTTTGCAAACATTCATCTAACTACAGCTAGCGTTCATACTATCTTTTCTTGGATACTTTGTAAAAGAATAAGTTTCTTTCTTGTTATCCCGCTTTTGCTTCTACAGCGTGAAATACCGACTTTATTTTTTCGATTAAATTTCTTATAGTAAGGAAGAACAGACCAATTCGGTCTCCCCAACATGTCCCGCTTTCTCTTCTACCCCCATGTCCGTGGTGCAATCTCAAGGCTACCAGAGCACTACAAAAGACGATATTTAAAGAGTCGCCTGTCTCCACCCATTAAATACATTCAGGAGTCCACTGAACCGTGGAAACGCGCAGCCTCAGATAATGCTCTGTAAGTCTCCGTTGGAACTTTTTCGAGCCCTTTAGTCATCCTTCGGAAGCTTTCGAAGTTGCGCCTAATGTGCTGTTTCCCGAGGAGTCGCAGAGAGCCCTGTGGGGTGGTGAGGGTATCGTCCGGGGCTTCATCGAACTGAGACGCACGCACACACGGTAAAGGCACCTTTTTTCTGTTTGCTTACAGCTCTGCAGATGTCCAAAGACATGGGGACCAGACTTGAGGCAACACATGTTTTACAGTGAAATACTGGAACGGTGGATGACCATTTTAGTGTCAGTGACTGCCCTGAAGCAGATTGAAAATCTGAAGGGTATCGATAACTATATTCTAGAGGTATTGCACATTTACGTACTTGTCAATTATTTAACGGAAGTCTAGACTCCAGAAAATGAATTGAGCAGTCGTCTGGCAATGTATATGAAGCGAGAGATGCTTCTGAGGATTTCTTCGGACGAGTTCCAGCGAGGAAACCCCGATCTGGTGAAAAAATACAGCAAGTTCGCCATACCGGTAAGTCTCGATGTTTCCAGGCCAGCAAAATGTCAGCCAGTTTAATCGTCAGCTTTGTGCTTTTTAGACTGTTGTTTTGGGTCGCAAAAATGTCATATAGCTGTCTAGTTGAGCTTCAGAGTGTGTAACAAGTTTATTTGGCCTGATTTTCCTTCATGCAATAGCTTTAGAATCAAGCATCCTTTTAAAAAACAGCTCTTTGTGCCTAAGATCAATCAAACAAACAAGATTAACAACCTTAAATGTGGGCCATCCTACCCCTTAAATTGAGATCTCGAACATTAATGAGTTAGGTAATCTACTATAGTCCTCTGTCCACAGTTTGTACGTCGTACTTACCTCTTACTTTAGGTTTTACTTCTTCCATGAAATCAGCGTGAACTATGACCTAGAGTGCCTTTCATATAAGTTATTTCATCCTTCTTCATTTTCTTGTCTTTCTCTTGTTCTTGCTCCTATTCGTATTCTCTTCAACTTCCACCTAGCCTGTCTTTTAAAAGATTGACCCCCCACTTTTCCACTTTTTATATTTCCTCCTACTTCCCCCTCCTCACCCTTCTTTTTCCTTCTTTGTCCTCATCTACCGTTTGTGTCTCCAAATCATCATGTTTTTTCCCACGTGCTCTTTTTCTTATTTGTCGTTCTATTTTGTTTTCATTTGCTTGAAAACATTTAGCGGGAGGAAGCCGAATGGGTCGGTCTGTCACTCGAAGAGGCTATCAAGAAGCAACTGAAGTTGGAGCACGAACAGGCGCGTATAGAAGCGGAGACGCCAAAGAAATACATCTATGCTCAAGCTCTGCTTGAGCAGTTGGAGCGGCCCACTGAATCCACCAGCGAAAGTAGGCACCAAATTGTCCATCAACATCTGCGCTACTTTGTATTCTGTGGTCTTTTAGAGGAGGTGTTTTGCGTTTTTTGCACAAGGGTGTAAAAAGAGTAAAGAAAAAAAGGCGTGATCACTGGGACGTCAATTGTATTATTCTGAGCTTTCGGCTTCACAAAATAGGCTATCATCTTAGTGATCGCGTCTTTTTCTTCTTTACAACAAGAACCGGGGGCATGCATATTTGCTCCTATTGTAAAAAAAAGAGTTTCTGGGCGATTTTCCCTTTCCTTCGTTTGTACGATTTCTAGAAGCTTGCTGATCTGACTGCCCTTCACTAGCCTCATCATCGTCCAAT